TAAAGATAGATTCATCATTTTCATTATATTTGTAAAGTATAATTTTTATTCGATTTAATTTCAACAAATTTTATTGTTCGTACAAATAAGTAATATAATTTTTAGACTAGATTAAATAATTCGTCTGAAATGTTCAATTCTTTCCATGTGGATATTTAAGTTAAATTGAATTAAATAAAACTAAATTCATGTCGTTTAGGACATTGTATTGCCAACTGAATATTGTACACTATGTTTTAGATGTTTTTGCATATTACGCGGGTTTTATACACCTTTTCGTTTCTAAACTTTTTATAAAGCAAAAATTAATAAGGAATACATTTTCCACTTGTGGAAAATTCAATGAAAATTAAATAGTTTAATTCTTCAATTTTATGGATTTAGTGTTTACTAATATCTTTTTCTAAATATTTTTTAGAATATTTATATTGTAATAATATCAATAAAAATCACGCTACATTTGAAAATAATACTACTGATTTCGTTCATCTTTTAACATAATTATGTTGATAGATTTCATTAGATTTTAAAGCATGAATTATATTATTTTAACCCGTGATGTTGCTAGGGCAATATTTGGTTTCATTCATGCACATTTTCAATTCGTTAAAGTAATGAATTATGATAAAAGAAAGAAATATTTCGTAGTAAAAGGAAGAGGATTATCTTAAAAGATAATATATCAAAATGAATTCTTCGAACGAATTGTTTTGTATTAGGAATTGTAAATATCTGTTGAAATTGAAAATTAAAATACGTTGAAATTTATTAAAAAATAATCTGTTATTAAAGTATTTAAAATTGTCCGTTCAACGAACAGAACAGTTTTATACCCATCTACGTTGAGAAATAAATAGAGCAAATATGCCGAAAGAATGTTTAGTCTTTAACAAATCTCCGAGAATAATTTCATCTGCAGATGACACTTCGCCATTATATACGTTTTAAATTACATATTAATTAAAGACGTTCAATGCACGATCAGACAAACTGTATACGAATCGTAGCAGACTCTGCTTTAATTGAGAGCCGGTTAATTGCACGGAGCGTTTTAACTCGCTTGGCGAAAAGAGGCTGCAAATAAATCATAAAGTCCGGAAGAGTGCTCCGGCGATCGACTACGACGTTCGTTATACTTATTGGTATTCCTTTCGGCCGACGATGATGCGCACTGGAAGTGCAACTTTTACCCAATGCATCTCTTGAGGGCATTATGTTATTACTCGAGTTTCTAAAGTAACCATCTAGCTAGCGAAAGCTCAATTGACACCGGGAATGACATTGCTTCACAATCTCTTTCAAATGAATTCGAGAGTTAACCGCAGAATTCTTGCTATATATTTATTCTGATTTTCGTCTTATGTGATTGGAACATAATGATGTAACGTTACGTAGAAATGAAATATAATCAATTTTTTTAAATACTTGATATTTTTAAAACATTCAAATACTTTATATTTATCGATGGGAATGAAAGACATAAATGAAATTTATTTAGAGAGCTAGTGTATAATTATTAACTAGTAACAATTGTTTATTGGAGATACATTCGTGCACAAAGATCTCGGAATACCTTTATTTTGTAATAAAAGATAATGAAATTTTAATATTGTGTGTTATATTATTATATTAGATATTACTTGCACAAGATACATAATACTTATTCTTCAGTCTTTGTTATATAAATTATTTTAGTTTATTATTATGTAGTACTTGTCTCAAGAATTTTGTAGTCAAGGAATATAGTTGTTTTATTTAAAAGCAGAAAAGTTGTTTGCTAAAGTATTTGGAATTTTCTGTTTTATTTATTTGTATATGTAGTAAACAATTAAGTTTAAATTGCTATCTAGGTATGAACTAAAATCATTTTTCACTTTCTTTAATTCAAATTTGTGTAAAGAATATTAAAGTATATTGTAACAATCTTAATTCGAGAAAACATTATATTAAATCTCTGAACAGATAGAATATATATCGGACTTCAAAAATTAAAATAGAGAATTATTTATTAATGTTATATATCTCTAATAAAATTCACAGAAAATTCTACAAAATGTCCATTGGAATCACATTTTCTGTATTACGACAAAGAGTTCGCAGAATGTATATAATATGACATAACATAAAATATTCATGCCACGTAAACTAAACTTATAATCCATTTCTTTAGCAATGTTCGTGAATGTATAAATGTATAAATTTACATGAATTTGCGGTTCATATTTTCGTTTGTACAAAAATCCATGTTTACGTTACATACAACAACGTAACTCCCTGTGCTAGTATTTTTTCAAAATATGCACCTTAATTAACACATTAAATTGTACTCTAATAAATTTATATTTTCAGAATAATAAATGTACTTTAATTTGTGAGTACATTTAATTAGCTAATCCTTTCGAACGAGATCAAGAATTATCATCGAGAGAAATTATTATAACAAAAGTGTTTCTATTATGTGTATTTATTATCTGTATTATTTATTTAGGTTATTAGATCATGTAATCATGGCAAACAGGAAAAAGTAAATCGTTTCTAGCGAGAGAGCCGATATTAAGAATCGTCCCCATAGTATTCGGTTGATTGGATAGCACTGCATCCAAGGGCGTTCATTACGGACCAACTCTACTCCAATCTATATGCAAAATTACTCTTCGCTATTCAAGAAGAACGAAAGATCAGTGTTGGTAATTGTCACGTGACATTTGAAAGTTTGAAAAGTAACGAGAAATCTGACAATTCATTTTTATTATTTTTACGATCATTAAATACATAAATATATTAGTAGCAGAGTTGAAGCAAATTAAATTTGTAATTGTTGCTAAAATTTCTAATTATTCTGAAATGATTTCATTTATGGGATATCGATATAGTTCAATTAAATTTTGTTAATATTATTTGTAATACTTTGTATTTTGCTCTTAAGATTTCGTCTTTATACGACATTTATACGAAGTAATATATCAGAATGATATACCGAATGCATCAGTATAAAAGATATGCATTCAAAATCTATGGAAATCATATACTATTTATAATAATGTTCGTAAAATTTCATTTCTTTACGTAAAATACAAGCAGTATTTGCTACATTTTTACTTTTCAATTCGGCGGTTTCCATTAGATTTTATGTTTCATTCTCGCGGTATTAAATTTTTTCAATCGTCGGATCCTTGAACCTTAAAAATTAATTAGCATATAAATAATGTAATTAATACAATAGTCTGAAAATATTTTTTGTAGGAATACTAAAATAAAAACATAAAAGAGCAGAAAGAATTACGAATATTGCGTTAAGAAATCTGTACGTCTATTTTTAGGTTATACCACTAGCTCTTCTATAGAAGTTTATCCTCGCAATAGAATATAACATTATATTTCGACTGCGGAAGTTTAGAAAATTTACTGCGCATTTATAGAAAACTTTAGAGTGTGAAGTTACACAGAATGCATATGTTATGGAAAAAAATATATGAAATATTTAAAATATAACGTTGTTTACTATAGTACTGTTAGAAGCTATAAAATGTCTCGTGGGATAGCAAAAGCGCAAAGAGGACTTTCTTTCTCATTACTCATCGATATGCTATGCTACACAAGTTTATTTGTTTATGAGACGCTTTCAATCAATCAAACGTTCTTATATTTAAACTAGGATCCGAAATAACTGATCAAATTTACATTTTTTTCGCGAGATTTCTTTCTCCCTCAAGATTTTATTTTTTTAATTATATTCTTAAAAGTATTTGTTTAGAAATCTGCAGTCTAGCTATCATAAATACTTTGTCTAATTTATAATTTATTTTAATATTTGGAAATAAGAATATATTTACAATAGAATTTATTTATTTCCAGTATACAAATATATAATGTCCGTATGTTGCATGTTGTGAAATACTTTACGATATAATCTCTCCCCTTCTAAAACACTGTTACGTGAACACCATTAAAGTAGTGACCATTTATAACCGTGACTTTCTGGTCCTTTATAGAATGATAAATCGTTCCAATGTTCTCGATCGCACGGAATCTCTTATTGTTGATTTACGTAACAGCAATACTCTGAATTCTTGCACGACTAGTTTCGGCTTTCCAATAGAAAACTATGCGAGATCTCATACGTTTCACGATCAATGCGATATTGTTGATTTGTACTACTTACTTTCAGTGTTTCCTTTTTATCACATTCAGACAAGATTTATAATATTCTCTTTATTTTTATGTTTTTGTTATTCTTGTTCATTTATTTTTAAATTACTTTTAAGTATAAAATCATTTAGTTTTAAATTACTTTTATGTATAAAAATAACTTTTGTATATTATTTTATATATCTTTAATTTTTGTTCTTCTTTTGTTTTTTCTATTTCCCTTTTCATGCTTGCTCTTTTCCATTTACTCGATAAATATAAAAATAAAAATATAATAAATATATTTTATATAGATAAATATAAAAAATATTTAAATATTAAATTAAATTTCTTATCCTTTCTTTTTAAAGAAACTTTTATATATCTTTAACAATGCTGATGATTTTCTATTTTGATTTTCGCATGATTACATTTACTTTTTATCTTCTTTATTTCCACATATATCTAGATTTAATTTTTATTTTCTTTTTGTATTTATTTTTAAAAAATCTTTACGTGGCTGTGATAATTTGTATTTTTTATTTCTTAATAGTTATTTTGCACTTATTTTTAAATATCTTTATATAATACCGGTAGTACTGATATTGATTGCTCTATTGCATTATTAATTATTTAATTTTCAATTTCCCTTCATGTTTTCTTTGTATGAAGAAATCTTGCATTGTACTGTATAATATATTAATAATTATATGTAATATATTCAAAATTATATATAATATAAACGATGGATATACATAATTATTATTATAATTATATTATTATTATATATTATAATTATAATAATCATTATTACTGTATATATATGTATATTCTACATTTGTTTGTGTTTATTTTTAAATACTTTTATATACCTGTAACAATACCGCTGGTGGCATCACAGCTAAGCCAACTAGCAAATCCGCAGCGGCCAAACTGGACACGAAACAATTAGTAACGGATCGTAGACGCCTAGTTGTTATCACAGCTGCAATTACTAGAGTGTTGCCCACCTGTCATACAGCAAAAAGTACACATTTCATTCAAACGATTAAAATATTGTTCGATTAACACTGCATTTTATAAAAATGAAGGGAAGAACGATTATATATGTTTCTATAATATTCTATGGGTCTCCTATCTAAGAAATTACGGTAATTACTTAGTGCTATACTGAATATGAAACTTCACGATCATTATAGCATTGCATGCAATTTATAGGACAAATATAAACACAGTAGACTGATACTTTAGTTTGCGTAAACATTTTACGCTAATTGGTTAAATTATTCTGCAAATATTCTGTACATTTATGTTGTCTGGTGACCGTGATAAAATTTGATGAATGTGATTGATTATCAGTTCAAAGAAACAAATTGATCGGAATATTCATTGAATTACCTTTTAAACTAAGGAGAAAAGTAGAAGCGCAGAAACAGAATAGAAAGAAAGTAGTTCAATGTCATTAGATTTACTAGAAATGAGATTATCAATTCTATAAGATCAACTATTCATTTATATAATAATTTTCATTGTACAATTTGGAGATATATTTGAAGTAACCATTCAAATATGCCTTGTTTCTCCGCAAAAAGTTAAAAAATATTTATCTGTTGGTCAGTCACGAAAATCTACATATGTACATCTGCAAATTTCAAATACTTAAACTTATTAATTATTTATCGTTATACGGATTTTTATAAACTGATGATATTTCTTATATCTAGTAGAAAACACAAATAAAACAAAAAATTACTATACAACTATTACAAGTACATTAATGTGTACAAAATGTGTCTTTATTATTATTATTATAGTACGTATGTATTATTATTATGCATGTATAAATGTATATATTATTATAGTTACATTATATATATATATATATATATATATATATATATATATATGTTATTATTATTATTATAATTATAATCAGAATAATTTAAAATTCTAGTCAGAATAATCAATTTTAATGAAATTGTTTTGTATCCTTTTGGACAAATGTAAAAAACATTGTCAATATTGTAGAATTGATCTGATTTTAACTAACAAATTAATTAAGATTTATAAAATATTGGAAATCTTTTTTTTTTTTCTCTGACAGATGTATATTAACAGATTTCTGTGATTGACAGTAAAAAATCTTCATTAATTTTATCATGTACCAACAGAATAACAGATAACATAGTTTTATTCGAATCAATCAATATACAGGAATTTTAAAATATCTCGAGCAACGTGCCATGTCTGAATTTGACATAAAAAAACAAAGAGCTAGAAAAAGAAGACGTAGAAGAGAATTCCAATTAAATCAAATTCTTTTTAGAATCCCGACTCACGTTTTAATATCCTATCCGCATGTAAAAACAATTTCAGAAATTTGCAAAATTACGTATATGGTATTCAAAAGTATTCGCATTTCTGACGAGATGTATTTTAATTATAAAGTTATGAATAAATTAAAGGAATAATTTTTTTATTGCTTAGAATTGTTAGAGGTATGCACAATACATTCGATTTAATTAAAGTTGAGTTTCATTAAAAATAAAATTGATCTTTGAAAAGTGAAAAGCGGAAATTTGCGATTCTTAATTCCTAACTGTAAAACTATGTATTTTCTTTCGTGAAAAAATTCTCTAATTTCTGATTCAATAATTTTTGAATTACAAGTTTGATTAATAAAGACATTATGAGTTAATAAAAAGAATTCCTACGTTGATACGACTACTAATATTTGAATGGTAAATGTACGACCACAAAAATTGTTCGCGTGTGTGTATCTTTATTTCTCAATGTTTTCCTTCTGTCACGTTTTATTTTTCGTTTTCATTATATCAAGTTCTTTTAGTCATGTGAAAGTGCTATTAGATCATACGAAATTCAATTTACTTTAAATCAATCAAATTAACATATTGAACACGAACGTTGTATCATTTGTAATTTTTGTCAAATAATTTATATAGCAAAATTCTTTTTCTAGTAATGAAATTATGAAAGAAAATTCTAAGAATTAACTTAAAATTGTTTCATCATTATTTCTTTCATTTAGATTTTATAATTTTATAAAATTAAAATATTTATGTTAATTAATGAAACAAATATAACGAACAACAAATATATTGCATATAGTACTTATAATCAATAACAGAATATGCATAGTATTGTTATATTCTTTAATTCTTTGCAGTTCTATGTTTTGTGTGACGAGACAATGATTTTATTTCAGTGAATCTTTTATCTAAACTCAGATTAGATGTTATAGTTTAATAACAGTATTCAAATTTTTAATTTTCAAGTTAAATATTTAAGTGCAACAAATATTGGATATTGTTGCACAAATAAATTGTAGCGTAATAAGAAAAATAGTTTTGAATTGTTATTTTAAAGTAAATCTAAGAATTCCAAAAAAAGTTTACCTTCTTCATTGTTTTAAATTTCATCTCTTTTTGTTTTTTGAAAATTATTTTAGACCGCAAATTGTTAATAGACAAAATTAACAGTCTCTGGCGATTCTACAAAAATGTCTTTAGCTGTAAAGTCAACTGTAAAATGTCCGAGTATTTATGAGCGATAGTATTTCATTGAACAAAATAAACGACGAATAATATACGAATTTCAATAATTTTCTCGCGTTTCGTGCATGCAGTTGACATCCACTGTAATCCTGCATGTGGAAATCGTTTGCCGCTAATTGAGGCAAATAAAGCCTTCTCAAAGTCAGGCGGTTGCGCTTAATTGTTGCTTACTATAGTGACGATGATCAACATGGTGAACAGCCCCGCCAAAACGAGATCCGTCCAATTCGGTAGGTAGTATTCCGACTGTGTGTCCCGGTCGATCGTCGACACCGTGTGATTCCATTGATAAACGTCCCCATAGTAATTGGCCGTTTGATTCGCCATGGCGCTTTAGCCCCGGTCCATTGACGATGACTTCTGCTCAGCAATTTGCGCATTTCCGTGCGTCATGCCGCCCCCTGCAAGACAATATTTTCGCTTCGATAAAAGATAAACGATTTCCGCAAATGGCCTGACCACGGCGAGAGAAATCGGGGAGTCCCCCTCCTTCAATTACATCTTTCTCCTTGCTTGTCGCGTCGATCGTTACAGGACGCGATTTCACGACCATTTTATCGTCGCGTAGACGATTCGTTCTTGGCCACTGGAGCAAGATTACGATCCGAAGGAAAGAACAATGCATTTTAAAGGAAGTTTCTGAAAGGGTGTACTCGAACGTCTTTATTCGTTCTGAAAGTATCGAGGATGGGGCTAGATTGTTGGGAATATCGCGGCATGCAGGACTCGATGTCCGTTATTTATCCCTTAAGTTTAGAAGAGGATTTCCTTTGAAATTTTCGCAGACGGAACAAAATTTTAGTAGACTATAGATTTTCATGCGTATATGATATTAGATGTAGTTGAAAGTTGATTTTTAGGTTCATTGTTTTTGAGAATATGTAGGGATTATGATAATTTATATTTATATCACAATACTACAAATAAATAATAACTTCGTAATCAATTTTAGTTGTTTATCTAAAAATATTATCAATATCACAAAATATATAATTACTAATAATTTAATAAAGATTACATAATGGAAGTTAAATGACGAATAATTTCTACGAATGAAGAATTTCTACTATGGCTACAATATGTATAAGTGTCAGTAAACATTTCCATGGTGATAATAAAATTAATAGCTATTTTTAAATATTCTATTGTTTATATTAAATACACATCTCATAGATGTCGTTGATCTAAATTCTTCGAAGTAGAGGTCGCTACAAATATAATTGAAAGACTGCCTTCTGTTAAAAATTGTTCTACGTTTTAGAAAGCGGTATACTTTGGATATATTGTATTATATCTTTCATATCGCGTATAATTTCTGCAATTTTGAACATTTATGGGAAATTTGGAGATGCATACATTGCACATAATATGCAGAACTATTCAAAGTACAGTGTCTCTTCTAATGTTCTATGATGTAAAGTAATGTTCTATCTAGGTACCATTTTTTTTAATCATCTTCATAGAATCATAAAATTATATAAATATCCGCATCTAATAATAAATACTTAGATGTTTGTAGAGGTAATTTACGAAATTATTTATTCATTCATGAAACAGAATATTCCGCATTTAAATAATTTCCCCACTGCTAATGAAAACAAGAAGAAAGTGACCGATAGTGACGACAAGAAAATAATTTCGCCAAAATGGTTAATTTAATTAAGTTTAAAGCATTGAATTGCAATTAAATTGTGTAAATATCCCAATATAAACGTGTAAGAAATTCAATAATCGTTAAATTAAAATTTGTATTTAAATAGCATTCACGATTATGAAGATTAGTAAAAGTAATCAACAAATCGCTTTACTATTATATAAATATGATCAACAGGTGGATTTTATCGTTGAAAAAAATCCTTCGTTCAGAAAAATACAATAGACATCTAACTACCAAAAAGCTAATAAATCCAATTGAAGATCAAATATTCATGTACATACTACTATTCTATTTCCCCCAGTTTTTATTAATTAATCTACCATTAAACTTGCAATCTTCCATTCATCCGTGTACGCTTCGTAAGCGCGAAATTCATTCTTGAATTAGTCATACATCTTCATTCATATTCATGTAACGAAGCATGGTAACTGGCGAACAAATTTTACAGAGGCACATTTGGGTTTATATACCATCAAAGCTGATTTGTAAGTCAATATCCAGGTATTCTATACAGAGTTATTGGTTTATATGTACGTCGCAGAGCGAAAAATCAAGCTGACAGGCTGAGCCGTCGCTTCCTTTTCTCACCGTGCGCGTATATATGAGCCGTTTACATTGAAAGTGGCATAAAGCCACTTTACAGTAATGAAAAATGACGCCTGCGCGAAATTATTTGCACTGATAATGAGAAAAATATAAGTAGCCGCGATAAGAAATACAAGTAAATCTTCTCCAGAGTTGACGTTGATATCTCCAAACGCGTTGAAACGCAAATTAAATATCTCGAATTAAGAACAAAGTGAACTTTCGAAATAAACGACTCTTATATAAAGAGTCGTCACGATTTTTTTAGACATCTCTGATCGTTGTGGAAAAGAATGCATCAAAAATAAAGGTTAGTCAGCTTGCAACAGATTGCAATGTAAGAAATTCTCAAAAAGTTCTCCTCCAAGAAACTTCCAAGGATGGCTTTGAACGTTTTTAAATAACACCACATATCTTTGATCTCACATCGTCGATGTGACGAATTCAATGACCTATTACACTGAGGACTGACTAACATTTATTCTCAATATTTTTTTTCTACAATTTGCCTGGAAAACCGTGGCGTAGTATTAAGTGTGTACACTACATTGAAAGTGAATTAGCGAATGTAAATGGCCTATATGCAACGTAACAAAGGACCTGAAGTATTACAAAGGAACGAACAGGAATATCTAGGAAAATAACGAACGTTCTTCACGAAAGCTATACAGAAGTTAAACGACTTTTTAGATAAGCCAGTGGATATCGTTTCGAGTATTTCGTCTGAAGGACTCGTCTCGTTTTTTCCATTACATGTTTCAATCTTCCTCGTACGAAATTGATCGATGTCGCGTAGCTGGTAGAACGGTGATGCTAATCTTCTAGTATGTTGAAAGTTTCAATTTAGATTGGAATTTATTGTAATTATATCATTAATAATATATTTATTATTTTATACATATATATATTTATTTATACATTAGTAATATATTTATTAATTGTAATTGATCGTAATTCCAAATTTTAATTCCGATTAGAATTTCATTTGTAATTGATCGTAATTCCAAATTTTAATCCCAATTAGAATTTCATTTGTTTGATCTTTTATGACAGATGCGAATAGTTTGTATAATTGGAGTTTATTGATTCTCCCCGTTCCGTGCGATTTTTCATTTAAATAATAGAAATTAGCATTCAGATAAATGAGTATAATCGGCTACAATTCATTTAGTCGGACAATAAGTACTTATAAATTGGATTCAAATAAATGAAGTATCCTACAATGTTCTATTGACATAAATTGTGAAGTACTGTTCAGATCAGAATTTATTCAGATATTTGTTGCTAATGTAATAATTGCTTACTCTGTTAGCTATGCAAGTATACTTGCAAAAAAAAAAAGACAGTAATATTTATTACTCAAAATATAGTACAAGTATACAGTTAAGATTAATCTGTACATATATTTGCACATGCTTGTTTTTAATACCATACAAATATAATAATACGTAATTGATAATTGATATCTACAAACATAAATTACGATATTTCATTAAAAAAATATATATATTACATTCTAAACAGTGAGCATTTAATATGCAACAATAATTTTTATTGATTTTATATAATATTAATATCAATTGAAAATTTCATTAGTTTTTATACAGGTTGGTAAATTTTATTGTTTATTATTATTATTATCATTATGTCTCTATTGTCATTACTTTTCATTGTTTTTGTTTTTATTATTATTTCATGATATCTATATTTAATTATCATTGCGTTAAAGAGAATGAATTTATGTAAGAGAGCTTAAGCTTACACTTTACATAAAAAATGATATAATAAAAGCAAGCACATCCCATAAAAAAACCAAGGGAAGCGTAATCCATTATCTTTAGGCTATGAATTTATGCAACGGAAGTTTCTGTTGGTAAATGTCATTTTATTACGGTAAAAAAGTGAGTTTTAAGGACACTTCTTTTACTACACTATATAGTCCATTTGATGCACATGAATATTTATTAAAAATCGTTTATTCCCTTCACGTGATTACGTGAAAAATTGCTCGAATTATTGAAGCGAATATTGTTTTTGTAATTTGCCTTAAATACTTTTACGTAATTAAATAATATTTTATCATTCATTTAATATTATTAAGTCTCTGTTTTAACAGAAATAAAATGCTTATCAGTTTATTCTGTTTTATCAGTTTGTTACGATCTCATAGTTCTGTGATCTTTAGTTTGGAAAATCTTATACAGTTAGTAGAACTACCAAACCAGGGAGGTAACAATATTTAGCGAATAGATGTGATTGTTTACTCTGCTCACACGTTGCAGATTTCGGCATCATCTGAGTGAAATATTATTTTTATTTGTCACTACAATAATACATCATTTTTTTGGACTCGATGTTACGTTGAAATAACGTTGCTTTAGTTCATTTGAACAACTGATTTTTCCAAAGTTATTTCATTATTTGATTATCGAATAAAACAATTTTGTTTCACATTTCATGTCAATCGTGTAAATAAAGAACAGTAACTAAAATTAGAATTTTTTACTTTTTTCCAGTAGATTTTTATCGCTATTAGCCGAATGTATAGCTGCAGCATTCTGCATTTATATGGAATTCCGTTTCGTTGATTCGGAATAGTTCGTTTAAATTTGTTTAATCCAAATAGAGTCAGGCAAGTTAAATCGGACAAATTGAATTCTGTTGTTTAATTAGACAATTGGTCACGATTACAAATATTTTGATTCGATGTAAAGTCAATCGCAAAATTTAATCTCTGAAATGCGAATTTTTTACATATCGTTCGCAAAATATAACGGAAAATAGTTTAATTTTTGCAGTTTTGAAGTTGCTATTACTAGTGTTGGTAGAATGGATTATGTGCGTGTACAATGTGTTATAAAAAATTTTAGGCGCATAAAAATATTACTGGAGGTTTATTTTACAAATTATAAATAGTCAGTTTCACATTAGAAGTATGTTGATAGATATGATAGATCAATAAATCAGTTGTCAAATCTTTTTCTCATTTCGTTACATATTGAAATGTTGCTTTAAAGTTAATGAATGAAATTAAGTATGTACAACATATAAAACTCTATTGTCATTTGCCATCAATTATGAGTGTGATAATCCTTTAGACATATATTACATATAAAATAATATTAAAAATTTTCGAAATCAATTGAAGTATATTCCGCG